GAGCATCTGGCAGGACACCCAGGCTAGGGCAGGAGTTCAAACCTCCAGGTGCTTTTCCTGTACCCTGAGGACACCCTGTTGCTGTGGGAGGGGAGTGTGGGGTGGCTTCATTCCTCCTCTTCTCAGAGGAAGCCCCGGCCTGTCCTGAGGTGGGCGCTAAACAATGCCTCGTCTCTCACCTTGTACCTGCTGTCCTGGGTGCTCAGAGCCACCGAACTGTTGGCGGGGGGGTCTGGGAAAATGTTTGGGATGTGGAGGTGAAGACCTTGCAGGACATATGTGGACTGCATCTGCCAAGAGATGGAGGTCAGGCTGGAGAGAGCTGGGCACCACCACTTCCAGCCCCAGCAGGCTCCCAGCCCCCAGCTTCAGCAGCAGGAGTACAGGGCAGTCCCAGCCTCAGGGGGAAGTGCTCCCCCCTTCATCCCTGGGAGCCAGGCTTACTGGGGAGCTTCCTCTGCTCCGCTCCCAAGCCTGTGAGCTGTGTGTGCAGCCTTATTCCAGAGCCCAGGCACAGCTGGTCTGACTCGTATTTGTGTCTCCAGGGGCTGGCATAGAGTAGGCATGGATATGTTTGTTGATGGGGAACATAATGTCACAGCTGTCCCCACAGGGAGCTCTCATGACACTGGGGCCAAGCTAGGTCCTACAGGTTGACACATCCAGGAACTGAATAGACACTGACCCACCAGAGTGGCACCGGACACAGCCACTGGAGCAGGCTCGGGGGCCCCTGCCATGCCAGGCACTGTCCCCTTGGCTGCTATGTGATGCACAGGGACCTGGGAGAGTCCCGCAAGAGGGTCTGAGGCTGGGGAGAGCATTTGGGTTGCTGAGGACAGCCGCTGTTTACCAACTGGTATGGAAGGATTCAATGTGCCGAGGTCAGTGTGACTTAGAGTCAGCCATGGACACATGCCTTACCCATGTCCCTGTCTCATCATGGACACTCTCTACCTCTGTGCCACCCCCAAGAGGCAGGGTACATGCCCCCCATCTTCTGAGGCTTTAAACAAGGTTCCTGTGAAGTGGGTATGGGAGGCAATGACCTTGAGGTCTGGGGTTAGGGGGTGGGGGTAGGCTGCTGCCCACCCTCCAGACACACCATGTACATGCCCCCAGCTAACCTTCACCCCGGGAGAGGTGGGAAGCAGTGGTTCGCAAACCTGGCTGAGAATCAGGATCATCTGATAGAGCCTCTTGTCTAAGCCACCCATCTTACACATGAAGAAACTGAGGCTCAGAGAGGTGGGGGTGATTTACTAAAGTCACTGGGCCCCAGACCCATCTCCAGCATTCCCCATGCTCTACCACCAAAGGGAGCTCAGCTGTTGGGTTGGCTTTGTGCCCGGCCTGCACCAGTTGCTACAGAGCCGCAGTTCACTTTGTGAGCCCCTTTCCCCTTCTCCACATGCCCTGGGCATCTACACTGAGACCGGAGACCAGAGAGAGGTGGGGAGCCAGTCCCCCAAGAGTGCAGGGGTGGGGCGCTCACCTGGAAGTACACCATCCAGTAGGGCACAAGAGTCACCATAACGGGCAAGATCTTCACCAGCCCCTGGAAGTTGGCTGCGTCCTCCTGGGAGGACAGGCCGGGCTGGGGAGAACGCTGGATAGGCAGTTGGGCATCCTGAGCATCTCTGTGGGGCCATAAGAGCAGCAGATAAGATGACAATTGTCATCAGCACCCCTGCCCCCACCATTATCCCAATTTACTCCTACTCCCCTTCACCCACCACCACAGCCGTCACCGTGGAAATCACCACTGTATCTGTTCCTCCCCACCATCAGCATCACCTTAGCCACTGTCACCATCACCACCGACGCCAGCGTCATCACCGCCAGTAAGGTGATCACTCACGGAGGAGCCCTCTCTGTGGGGCTCCCAGTGCCCTCACCCTCCCTGTGCAGTGCAGGCACAACCACTGTCAATATACCGCAACCCTCTCCTTTGTCGCAAAGGTGGCTGCTCGACACCCACTCCACCCTGGAGCTGCAACCCCTTGGGTCCCGGAGGAAGTAAGACCAAAGATTGCGGCAAGCAGAGCATTGGGGAGTTTTTGCCTCATAGCGTCAATTTGCCACAGGCACCAGGGAGGTCCCAGTCTAAGCCTGACAGAGAGCCTGTCATAGGTTTGACGCCCCTAAATTTCTCAGCCTGCTTTCTCCAAGTCCATCCTCCTCACCAGGCAACTCTCCCTGTGCATGAGCAGGAGGGAGGGCGAGTAGAGAGGTGGGGGGAGGGAAAATTGTTAGGAAACAGGGTGGATGGACCGCTGCTGCGACCTTCCCCTTTGCCCTTTGTCCTTCGAGGTTTCCAGCCCCTTGTTGCGGGAGAGCCTTGCCTCATCCTTTGAGAGGCCGAAAGGGACAATATCAGTGTGGTCTTTCCACCGGCTCCTCCCCTCCCAGCGTATGACGCCACTCCTCCACTAACAGGTGGAGTTATCTTCTCTGCCCTTGCCTCTGGGCTGGCTGTGTGACTGTGCCGGCCAACAGAAGGAGCAGAAGTGAATCTGGGATTTCAAACCTCAGGGCCTTAAAAGGACCAATAGCCTCCACTGCCTTCCCTTGGGAACACTCACCGCTGGAAAGCTCCCCGCCCTGGCACCCCAGACACCTTGCTGTGAGAAGCTCCGGCCACACTCTGAGGCCACATGCAGGGGAGCCGAGGTGCCTCGTTGACAGCTAACATCTACTGCCAGCTGTGTAAGGAAGCATCCTGAATGTTCTAGCCTTTTCAAGTCCCCAGATGACTGCAGCCCCCAGTGACATCACCCAGCTGAGCGCAGTCACGCACAGTGCCTAAGCCACTGAGTTCTGGGGTGCTTTGTCAGGCAGCAGCGCATCAGTAAGACAAAGCCCTCAGTGACACACCAGGCTGGGGGAGAGCATGTTCCCCTTCTTTTCCATCTAGATCCTGCATATGGGAGCTGAAACTGGAGACAGGTTTGCTTAACCTAAGTAATCAGTGAACTTGGGTAGGACCGGGCAATAGATAGCCGCGGCGCATATGCAAAGACATTCAAACCTTCCTCCCCTGAATGCGAACTAATGGGTGAGAAGCACATTTGGCTGATTTCTTAAATTTCCTTCTATTTAATATGAAGGGAGTGTAGCTTATTTATATTATATCCCAACAACCTTCACTGGTACCATCATCTCCATCATCGTCCCTCCTGCCATTGTTATCACCATTGCAGGCCTTTCTCTTCACTGCGGCTGCTGACACCATCACCCCTATCTATCACCACCATCACTGCCAAGACCATCGGTGTCCTCAGACTTTCTGTGGTGAGTCCACGGCCAGCACCACCGCCGCCTTGACCGTCCTCAGTCACAGTGGCAGCTCGGCCCACTGGAGGGCAGGTCACCGCTGCAGCTGAACTGGAACATCTCCTGGACATGCCTCCCCAGGAGCAGCTCAATGCCCTTCACCCAGAGCCCCCTCCTTACCTGGCAAAGTGTCGGCACCACAACCGGGGACAGTAGTTCTGGAGAGCAAGTTTGAGCATAGAGGACACTTGGCTGCCATTGGGGGGCTTGGTGATGAAGATGGGGGTGGCAAAGAGGAAGATGAAAAAGGCCAAGGCCACACAGCCCACAGTGATGCCATAGCCCAGCAGGAAGCTGACGTTCTGCTGGATAAAGGCCACCACCAGCAGTGACAGCACGGCACCCGCGTTGATACTCCAATAAAGCCAGTTGAAGAAGCGGCGGCTGGCATGGCGACCGAGCTCCATCACCTGTTTGGCAGGGATGAGGTTGAGGTCCAAGGAGGTCCAGGGGCACCCTGCCATGACGCACTCTCTGTACCTGCACCCCCTCTCCCACAGAGACATTTCTTGGGTCAGTGGTCTGGGCATTCTGGCATTTTCCAAGTCCCTGGTGGCTCAATAGATGCTCAGTAAATATTTGTGGCTTGAATGGCTAAACCTTTCTCTTGGGAGTCACTTGTTAGTGATCAGGACATTTTGGCACAGCTGTCTCTTCATGCCCATGGCACACCTCACTTTTTTATTTTTACCAAATAGCGCACACAACAGATGTCTCTGATGCCACTTTGTTCATTTCTGGTTGATTTATCCCTTTGTCTTTGACTGAACAACCTACAGTGTGCATCACCTTCATTATCAGAAAAAAAAGCCAATAAAGATCTCAGGTTTGTTCTGCATCATTAAATATAATAAATGTATGCACATTACTGAAAGAGCAGTTCGAGGGCTAATTGAGAACTGCAGTTTGGAGATGCAAACAGAGTTTTCTATTGTGGCCCATCACTTCCCCCCCTGACTTGCCTCCCTCTGATATACACTCAGTCAGACAATGTTGGCATAATCAGGGAAAGCAGAGGTGGTCCGGGACACAACCCCGAGAGTGGGTTCTGGCCTGGTGGAAAAAAACAAAATTCAGGCTCCCCCGCCCCCTCCGCTGGCAAGGACAGAAAGGCAGAAAATCTTTATCAGGATTTGGATCGATCTGCAACAGACAGGCCCCAGGCCTCCTTCCGGTCTGCTGGTTCAGGTCAGCTGCCCTGGCTGCCCCTACTGCTCCTAGACTCTGGTCCCAGATTCTGACTCAGCAGGTCTGGGCAGGACCCAGGCATATGCGTTTCTAAAAGGCAGCGAGGACAGGCAGTCACTTCTCTAGATAAATGATCTTGTACACTGTTAAACTTGCCATCCTGTCCTCAGTCACAGTGGCAGCTCGGCCCACTGGAGGGCAGGTCACCGCTGCAGCTGAACTGGAACATCTCCTGGACACGCCTCCCCAGATCCAAATCTCAGAATCCACTGCGGTCCTTACACCCAGAGACACATATTTCCACTAGCCAAGGTGACTTTGTCAAGCTTTACTTTCTGCAGTTGCTTTGGGAAGAATGTAAATATTTTGTTCCTTTTCCAAATGTAAAATTACAGTCCATACTGATGTGTTCCCTTGGAGATTCTGAGGGTCCTCCTGATAACAGACAGGGAGGGCTATGTCCACTCACTGAGAATCCCTGATGCAAACTTTCAGGCAGAAAACTGAGTAAGTACCATTATGGACAGCCACTTGCATTTATTAATTGGATGTAAATGATATGACAATTACAACTAAAAGGGTAAGACCAGGCAGCCCATTTAGGATATAAATGAGCTCTTCCAAAATGAGCTCTTTGCCAAGAATGATGGATGGCCCTTTCTGAAGTGAGCAATTGTGCTGAACATGAAGCTCCTGGGTTTAGCTGTCTGCCAGATAATGCCAACCCCTCGCACCTGTACATCCCCCCGTCCCCCCGAATTTGCAGCAGCCCCCTCATTGCTCTCATGTACCCACCTGTGTTACCCCCATCCACCCTCTACACTGTAGCCAGAACCATTTTTAAAGAACCCAAATCTAATGATGTCCATCCCTGCCTCGGATCATTTCAGTGTTTCTGAACCGCCCTTGAGGTCAGGTTCAGAGCCCTGGGGTAGCCTTACGGCTGCCTTCCAGCCCTGCCCAAAGTCCATGCTTGGTGGAAGGGAGAATGAACAGGAGCTGTTGCCACTGAGGCTCTGAACCAGTAGGCCTGACTTCATCTGTACTGGGGGAAGCGAGAGGCTTGCTCCAGCCCTAGGCCTCTATGACCCACGAAGATGGGGCTCCTGGTGGGGCCTGAAGTCCAAGTACAGCTCCTTGACCTGCTACGTGATCCTGGGCAGCTCAATTAATGTTCTGAAATCTTAGTGTCCTCATAGGTAAAGTGGATATAGGAATACCACCTACCACCTGGGTAGCTGAGAGTATTAAATGAGCTAAAACTTTGAAAGTGGCCCTAGTCAAAGAAGGCCAACTATGGTCATTACTATTGTTGCCATCTTTATTGTTGTTAGAGTTAGCACGGCGCTCTTCTTTCAAATAGGGACACTGGGCGCAGGGAGCACAAGGGGTTTCTGAGGTCACGCTGTGAGCAGGGCCTCCGGGCTCCAGCTCCGGGATCTCAGCCCGAAGTCCACTGCTTCCTCTCTGCACCCCGGGCTGCAATAGATGGGGCGTGGCCCTCTGCCACTCACCTGGTCGGCACCGAAGGAGGTGAGATTGCTCCTAATGGAGCTGGCGGCCAGGGCGAGCAGCAGCAGCCCGGTGTAGAGGGTGGGCGCGCAGTAGGAGGTGGGCGAGCTGGGCGGGCAGCCGGGCGCGGGGCAGGAGGGCCCCAGCGGCGCCTGGCGCACCTCGCCGCAGAAGGAGCGGCGGCCGTCGGGGAAGGCGGTGGCGGTCAGCAGGCCGGAGGCGGCCAGGTAGAGCAGCAGCGTGAGCGCGATGGCGCGGCGGCGGCCCAGGTACACGTCGGCCAGCCAGCCGCCCACGGGCGCCAGCAGGTAGGAGGCGCCCAGGAAGGCGAGCGCGGCGCGGGACGCCTGCTCGCCGGCCCACTGGAAGTCGGGGCTGTTGAGGTACAGCACCAGGTTGCCCGCGACGCCGAAGAAGGCGGCGCGCTCCAGCATCTCCACCAGGAGCACCGCCGCCGCCGCCGCCCGCCGCCACCGCCGCGGCCCCCGCGGCCTGCGCCCCAGCAGCGGCCTCCGCTCCGCGGGCGCTCGGGGCCCCCCGGGGGCGCGCGGCGCGGGCATCCTGGGCCGCCTCCCCACACCCCCGCGGCCTCTGTGGCGCCCCGCCTGCTGTGCCCCTTGCTCACGCCCTTTGGTGCTCCTTCACCGCTATGACCCCTGTCCTTAGCCCTCGGGCTTCTGCTGCACCCAGCTTCTATCTCCGCTCCCCAATTCTCAACTCTCCTCTCCGCTCCTCCCGCCTGCTCTCCCCATCCTCGTCTCTGGCCCCCTCGGGCCGACCCTCCCTCGTTCCACTTGGCCGCCGCCCCACCTCCTTTCCTGCTGGTCTCCCCGGTTGGCCGCCCTTTCTTAACCGATGTCCCCTCCCCTTGTGACACCTGGCCTGCACCCCGGGGAAGGGGCCCTCCACAGGGGCTCCTTCTGCCCCCACCGGCCCTGGCTGCCTCCTCCTCCTCCTCCTGGTACCCCCACTGCCTCCACCGCCTGCCCTTTCGGCCGCTCAGCCTCCGTCCAACTCTGCCTCTTGAGCAATTCTGGGCGCCCCTCGCTTCCCCTTTCACTACTTCTGTGACCGATTGCATCACGTGGCGCCCTGGACTGTGAAAGAGAAACGAAAGCCTGGGTCACAGGATCTCTGCCTGCCCAGTTTTTTAAAACCTCCCTTCCTTCCCCACCTGCCACCTCCTCCCTCCTCTCTGCCTGCCCTCCCGGAGCCTGGAGGGATATTTCCCACCTTCCGTGTCATTCTCCGCATCCCACTGTCGCTGCATCCTCTTTCAGTCACAATCCAGGGCGAGATGGACAGAACCTGTGGGGCCGTGTGCATCATTTGGGCCCGTGGGCCCACTTCATGGATGTGGAGACTGAGGCCCACTGGAGGGGGGAAAGGGAGGCACGGATGACAGGCTCATGGTAATCAGACTAGGGGTAAACCACTGCCGGGCTTCTGAGCGACCGGGGAAGCTTTCAAACACAGTTCAGATTGTGCAACGCTCTAGGAGGAAGGAAGTCGGGCACTACCCACAAGAGTCGAGATTGAGAGAGGCACCGACCTCAGACTAAATCCACGGGACGTCGGCCCTCCCCTTCTCAAAGCCCTGCAGTGCTTGGACTAAGAGCCAGCCCTCACCCTGACCTGGCCCTGCCCATCCGCCCCGCTTCCTCCAGCCTCGGCTGCCCCATGTCCCCTCCACAGACCTCCCTTCTGTGCCCCTCAGGAGCTGAGCTGCTTCCTGCCGCAGGGCCTTTGCTGTTCGCTCTGCCGGAACTACTCTTCCCCCAGATCTTTGCGTGGCTGACCTCTTGGCTTTATTTAGATTTCAGCCCAGATGTCTTCTCCTCGTAGAGACCTTCCCTGACCACCCTAAACCATTGCCTGCTAGATTCCCAGTTCCCTCTCTCGGCCCCACTATCTTGCTTCAATGTCTTTGGAGCAGGTAATACTTGCTCATTAGTTCGCTGTTTCCCCAGTAGTATACAAGTTCCATGGGGCCCAAGACCTGGTCTAACTTACTTTTCTAAAGTAGTTTTAGGCTTACAACAAAATTGAGAGGCGCATAGGGTGTCCGTACGCCCCCTGCCCCCGCACACGCACAAGCCTCCCACACTACCAGCATCATTCACCAAGATGGTACATTTGCTACCAAGGATGAACTGAGATTGATGCATCACAATCACCCGAAGTCTATCGTTCACTTTAGCGTTCATTCCTGGTGGTGTACATTCTATGGGTTTGGACAAATCAATGTACAATGACATGTATCCATCATCATAATACCAGAGTATTTTCACTGTCCTAAAAATCCTCTGTGCTCTGCCTGTTCATCTGCCCACCCCCAGCCCCAGGCCACCCCTGATCTTGTTATTGTCTCCATAGTTCTGCCCTTTCCAGAATGTCATACGGCTGGGGTCACACAGTGTGCAGCCTTTTCAGATGGGTGTCTTTCACCTAGTCATATATTTAAGATTCCTCCATGTCTTTCATGGCTTAATAGCTCATTTCTTTTTAGTTTTGAATGAATAGCCATTGTCTGAGGGTACCACAATTTATCCATTCACCTACTGAAGGACATACTGGGTGCTTCTAAGTTTGGGTAATTATGAATAAAACTGCCATAAACACCTGTGTGAAGATTTTTGTGTGGACGTAAGTTTTCAGCTCCTCTGGATAAATACTCAGGGATGATTGCTGGACCATGTGTTAAGAGCATGTTTAGTTCTGTAAGAAACTGCTAAACTGTTTTCCTAAGTGGCTGTACCATTTGCTTTCCCACTAGCCATGAACAGGGGTTCTGGTTGTGTCACATCCTTGACAGCTTTTGGTGGCGTTGCTATTCTGGATTTTGGCCATTCTGATAGGTGTATAGTGGTATCTCATTGTTTTAATTTGCATTTCCCTGATGACATATGATGTGGACCATCTTTTCATCTGCTTTTTTGCTATCTGCATGTCTTCTCTGGTGAGGAGTCCATTAAGGTCTTTGGCCCAATGTTTAATCATATTGCTTATTTTCTTATCACTGAGTTTTAAGAGTTTTTTGTATATTTTGGGTAACAGTCCTTCACTGGATGGGTCTTTTGCACATATTATCTGCCAGTCTGTGGCTTGTCTCCTCATTTTCTTGATACTGTTTTTCATAGAGCCAAAGTTTTTAATTTTAATGAAGTCAGTTTATCAATTCTATATTTCCTGCATCATGTCTTTGATGGTGTATCTAAAAAGGCATCACCATTCTCAGGGTGATAGGGTTTTTTTCCTGTGTTATCTTCTAGAAGTGTTACATGTAAGTGTCTGCCCATTTGGAGTTAATTTTTGTGAAGGGTATAAAGTCTGTGTTGTGATTCATTTTTTGCACATGGATGTCCAGCACCATTTGTTGAAGAGACTTGTCCAACTTTCCACTGTTTTATTCCCAGTGGCTGCCCGGTGCTCCGCAAATAGTAGGTGCTCAATAAACATTGATTAAATAAATGAATGGGAAGAGTGTCCCAAGCCAAGATTTGTAAAAATAGCATCAGGAAGGTTAAAAGCAAGTCTTGCAAAAGCTGTAGAAACCACCAAAAATGGGGTCTTTAAATTTTGTGTCAAGTAAGAAAACAAGTATTGACGGATGAGACAAGCCTATACAGGGCAGAGCATGACACAGGGCGAGGGAGAGAAGGCAGAGCTCTCCACCTGGCTTCTGTTTCAGTCCCTCCAGTCAGGGACAGGCAGAGAATGGAGTCTCGGTCTCTTCCAGATGCTCTGCCTCTACCTGAGGAAGCCCGGGGCAGGAGACGGGATGGGTAAAAGTGGGCCAGGGAAGTGCACATCACATCAGGCTCAGTTCTGTCCTCTCTTTGCGAGGTCACTAGGATGACAGATGTGACAAATGCCATCCTGAGGGCTGAGCCTCGCAAATTAGAGTGTTGACCTTCTGTGTTTGTTCAGGGAGTGGTAGGTGGGGGGAAGGCTCCTGACAGTTATGTGGCCAGGAGAGAAAAGCATCAAAATGAGATAAGCGAGGTTTCTTCCTTTCTGTCCAGTCTCCGTCCCTGGGTGAGGGGCCAGGAGCTAGGGTGAGGTGTCTAGGGAAGTCCCAGGGAGCTGCTAGCTGTGGGGTGCTTTGCTCTTACAGGTGGTGGCAGTGGTGTGCTGAGTCCCCCGGCATGAGTTAAGCACTGGTTACCTGCATAAGGGAGCTAGAGAGCAGAATTTCAGGACCCAGGAGACCTAGGGCCAGTGACCCGTGACCGCAGCCCACAGACATACATGGCCTGGTCCAGGCAGCATTTGGCCACATGGCATGAAGTTCTGTTCTTCCTTGCATGGTTTTTTTTGACTGAAAATATTTTAAATGTTGTCATCTCCTTGAATACTCAGAAATGTTCACATGGTTACTCTTGAAATCGGAGGTGGAGGCCAGAGGACTCTGGGCCAGGGTGCTCACATGGAGCCAGAGGCAAGCCACCCCACCTACAGGGTGACGCGCTGAAATAGCCCCGCAGATGCCTTGTTAGGAAGCAGGGGAAGTGAAACTTTTCATCTGCACATCAGCTGCTGTTAAGCGGGAGAAACACAAAGGCTGCCCCATGAGCAAGCCGGGGACATTTGGTGGGAGCGGCTCTCCCGGGTCCTCCTGACAGCGCTGCGGGGTCAGGCCAGAGGGCCGGGCTGTGGCACGTCCCAAAGTGGGGCTGACCTCACCTCTTCGGCTCACAACCCCACCTTCTAAAACCCAGCACAATTACTTTAAGTGAAAACAGAAAGTAGCGACACCTTAATAAATTAATAAATGAAGTAAATTAATGTTTAGAGGTTGCTTGCTATGCGCTGGATGCTGTTCGAGGGGGTGAGGTATGACCATGAATGACACAGATGCGAATCTGGGCTCCACGGAGCCAGCCTTCGAGTGGCTGGGAGAAACGGATGATAAGCAAGCGAATAGGAGAGAAGGGAATATGATAGAAGAGTAGAGAATAACAAGTCTTTAATGTCACGTATAATAAAGGCTATAATGAAAAAGTTGGATAAAGGGGTGGAGATGACAGTGGAGGCTTTTTAGATAGGGCATAGTATAGTAATGATTTATGACTTATTAGGGTTTCTGAACCTTGATGCTATGGACACTTTAGACTGGAAAATTATTTGCCGTGGGGACCATCCAGTGCATTATAGGGGTGTTTAGCAGCCTTCCTGTCCTTTGTTAAAAAGTGCTAGCTGTATCCCTCTCCTTCAGTTGTGACAGTCAAAATTGTGTCCAGACATTGCCAATGTCCCCTGGGGCCAAAGTTATCCCAGCCTTTGCAGCTATAAATAAAGCACCCTGCCTTCGGAGGGTGTGGTGGACTGATTGGTAGCCCCCCAACACATATGTCTACCTCCTAATTCCTGGAACCTATGAGTAATATCTGATACGGAATAAAATGTGATTAAATTAAGGGTCTTGGGAGGAGGTGCTAATCCTGGCTTATTCCCTGCGCCCTGATGCCATTGCGGGGCAGAGGAGATTAGACAGAGCCACACAGAGGAGAAGGCAGTGTGAAGACAGAGGTCGGGGGGACTGATGCGGCCGCAAGGGAAGGACGCCGAGGAACATCCATGGCGGTGAGAAGGTGGAAGCAAGGGACGCACTCGCCCTTAGAGCCTCTGGAGGAAGTGGGGCCCCGCCCCAGCTTTGACGTCAGACCTCTGGCCTCCGGAACTGTGAGAGAACACATTTCTGCTGTCTAAGTCACCGGAGTTGGGAGAATTTGTAACAGCAGCCGCAGGAAGCTAATACAGGAGGCATGCAACCGTGAGTGTGGTTTCCATAACAAATGCTTTAACCTCAGGTTCAAATTCCCACTGGAGAATTTATGAAAAGGGCCATTGACACGGATGAGGGTGGCCCTTTTTGCAGATCACACACAGGTGGAAGAGTTAGTAAAAACTTTGGCTGGTGGACACCAGACACCAGATGTCCACAGGTAAGCTGTATATGGATAAAGTGCCCATATCTGAATGCCAGAGCCTCTTCTTGGTGCCCTCAGACCCAACGGGAAAGTGCCAGGGTGACGTGGCTT